ACAAAAATCCTCACCACTGGACCAATAAACAACATTCTTATCAATGGAGAAAATATTGAAGTTGTCAAGGACTTCATTCTTCTTGGATCAACTACAAACAATAATGGAAGTAGCAGTCAAGAAATCAAACAACGTATTGCATTGGCCAAATATGCTGCACAAGGCCTTTTTTAAAGTGTTGAAGAGCAAAGATATCAGCTTGAGGACTAAGGTGTACCTGACCCAAGCCATGGTATTTTCAATAATCTCATATACAAGCGAAAGCTGGAAAGTGAATAAGAAAGACCATAGATTTGATGCTTTTGTGTTACGGTGTTGGAGGATAATATTGAAATTGCCATGGAGTGCCAAAAGAATCAACAGATCTGTGTTGGAAGAAGTGCAGCCAGAGTGCTCCTTAGAGGCCAGGATGGCCAAACTTTATCTCTCATACTTCGGACATATTCTCAGGAGGGTTCAGTTGCTGGAGAAGGATATCATGTTTGGTAAGGTGGAGGGTCAGAGAAAAAGAGGAAGACCACCAACGAGATGGATTGGCCAAGTGGCAGCATCGATGGACTCAAGTGTGGCAACAGTTGTGAGGTTGGCCCAGGATTGGGCAGTGTTTCGTTCTGTTGTGCGTAAGGTCGCTATGAGTCAGTACCGACTCGATGGCACTTAACAACAACAACAACAACTGGTATTTAAAATACTGGTGGCATAGCTTCCAGCATCACAGCACCACACATGCCACCACTGTATGATAGACTGACAGATGAGTGACAAACTGACAGAGAGTTGCTATTGCTTAGAAATCCACCTCAAGTTCAGCTGGAGAATACTTCCTGAGGACACTGCTGGAAATCAGTGAAGAATGAGACTAGATCAGAATTTCTGACTGTAAATAAACCACCCTTCTGCCACCACACCACAATAGTGTTTCTCAAAGTACAGTCCCGGGACCAGCAGCATCACCTGACCATTCCTTAGAACTGCAAGTTCTGAGGTTCCATCCTAGACCTGCTGGCTGAACCAGTTGTTATGCGGTAAGAACCCAGCATTTAGCAGTCTTCAGGCCATTTTCATGTGAGGTCTCCAAGTTTTACCAGAAGCCAAACAATTAATCTACTTATGTACGTATACTCCAGACTTTACCATAAATACAGGTATGGGATCTTGGAAAAGAGTTTCTATGAAATAAAAAATCCTAAGATATTAATAATAATTAAAAAGAATAAATAATCCTAAGAGTTTCTAGGAAATAAACAATCCTAAGAGATTGTTAGGTACCACCGACTCAAGGAGCTCTGGTAGCATAGTGGTTATAAATCAGGCTGCGAGCCACAAGGTCAGCAGTTCGAAACTGCCAGCTGTTCCATGAGAGAAAGATGAGGCTTACTGCTCCTCTAAAGATTTACAGCCTTGGAAACCCTGTACAGGGTCATTATGAGTTGGAACTGACTCCACGGCACATAACAACAACAACCGACTCAATGGCACCTAACAACAACAACAAGAGACTGAAACGGCAGGTACTGTACCTGAATAAGAGTCTCTTAGTCTCCTCATCCGAATAACAGTAATGGGAAAGCCTACTTTAAAACTGGCTGTGAGGATTAAATGAGAAACTGCACATCAAGAGCCAATCAGAGATATACCCAGGTGTCTAAGAGATAAATACAAGGGAACTTCAGAAAGTTCATTGAGAGATTCCGTTATCTTTTTTTTTTTTTTTTCCTAAGTTTTTATTGTGAATTGAGTGACAGTTTCCATGGGAGAGCATAGGTTTTACACTCACATCACAGTAGTTCATTTCACTGCAATGATTACAATCCCCTCCGTGCATCCATCATCTTTTAATTCAAATTTTCCAAAGAGTTTTGAAAGCCACCACATAGGTTTTTGTTTCATGGAAAAGTTAGCTTCACATTCATTATCACAGATACAAGAACACATGTGCAGTTCAATGTCCATTCTTCATATATAATTTCTATGGAACTAGAGTCTGTATGATTCAAAAGTGTACATTTTATATTTCATTTCACTTTCTTCCATGTTTTAGAGAAATACGTAACTTATTTAAGAACTAGCCCCTAAGAAGACAGTTTCAGAAGCCGTATGGATGTGTAGAGCAAAGTACCCACAGGAAAGCGCAGCAGGAAGATGGAATTGATAACAAAAGAGACATCTTTGAAGATAGCTATAGAAGGAAGGCTTTTGTAAATTATTATTCTAGAAATTATATTACTCTATTGTAATTTGGAGTCCTGCTCCAGCACTGAGAGTTACTGTGCTGGACAGCATGGTCAGTTTGAACTGCAAGGTCAGTGGTTCAAGCTCACCACCTACTCCTCAAAAACCCTATACAAGGTCACTATGAGTCAGAATCAACTCAAGGGTATTTACCCACAATAATAACAATTGTAATGTACTCAAAAATTCAGTAACAAATGCACTTTATGTAGAAGATATGAATACACCCTTTCTCCAGTACAGTGAACTAGCATCTTGAAGCAGCTATCTACTAAGTAATATGAATTTATATATGCTACAGGCTTTATTTTGAGTGTTATTGAGGATTTTGCAAAATATAATAAAACTGGGAAATGCAGAAATCTGAAACCATATTCGTTTTAATGCATTCTGGGCTCATTTCTTATTTAATAATAAAATGCTAAAGTAGATTTTTAAATTATGTATTTTCCAGTTCCATAATTTATCATTTAAATGATAAATAAAATTACATTTTGACATCATATTTGACAATGGTAATAGAAAACACATTTTTTCTTTCCTCAGGGTTATTTCTTAAATTCAAAACTCTACTCTTTTGCACATAGTATTAGTTTTATTGCATATATTTTATTTTTAACATATTTACATGAATTTCCTTAATGTTCTCCAAATTTAGCTCATGAAACTCTTATTTTTTAAAGCAGATGTATGAGCATAATGAACTATATGTAGCCAGCACAGTTTCAATGTAAATTATCTTAAATTCACAGTGATAATAAAATGTTTATGAGAAGCTAGCAATTATTTTCTAAATTCATTCTTATATATGAAAGCTATTAACCAGAGTATCTTAAAAGAAATGAAAGATCAGTATTTAAACCTTTTGGTACAATGCTGACAGCAGAAATAGAAACTAATGCATGCGTCCATTTAAAAATATTTATTATATAGGTTATAATAGAAGTATCTCCTACTTTTCTATAGTCCACTTTATGTTACTTTGCTTTTATGAAAAACCTACATTATTACCTGTTTTTACTAACAAAAAGGAATATGAATAGGATTTTGTCTTTAGAAAAACGGTAAAAAGTGAAACTAGTGTTCATTTGTTTCACAGCAAGCTACTAAAGAAGCAATGTCCACCTTAAACAGGAAGAATAGTCCCACCAGCTCCTTCCTCAGAAACTGTACTCAACATTTCAATATCAAGTCACCGTAGCTTTAAACCATGTCTGTGAACACTATACACTAGTGCTTAGTTTAGACTTTATGTGCTATTTGGTAGGTTATTTGGGGGGTATGGGATGCTCAAATTTTTTTCCCATATTTATTAATGGTAACTGGTCCTTCACTTTAGGCCATTTCAGCTTTTGAAAGGTTGTATAGAACTACTCTACTTTTAGTTGGTGAGAGAAACCTTCACTGCCTTTGCTTACTCCCTTAAGTTTTGGTATGTTATGCTTTCATTTTCATTTGACTCTAAAAATTTACCCATTAGTAATTTACTAGTGTGTTATTTAATTTCCATACATTTGTGTAGTTTCCAGTTGTTTTGCTTTGTTTGTTTGTTTGTCTTCTGTTACTGATTTATAGCTTTATTTTGTTGTGGTTAGAGAAAAGATTTTATAAGAAATCAATCTTTTTAATTTTATGAAGACTAGCTTTGTAACCTAACGTGGTCTAGCCTAGAGAACAGTCATGAGCACTGTAGTAAAATATACATTGTGCTGTCGTTGAGTGACGTGTTGTGTCTTTAAAGTCTAATTGACTTTTTAGTGGCATTCAGCTTCTTTGCTTCTTTCTAGATATCCTCTCCAATATTGAAAGTGGTACATTAAAGTCTCCAACTACTATTATAGTGCTATCTATTTCTACCCTTAATTTTATCAGTATTTGCTTTATATATTCAGATGCTCTGATGTTGTGTGCATCTATGTTTATGATTGTTATATCTTGATTAATTGGCATTATCATCTCTTCTGGAGTCCTGGTGTGGCACTTGGATTAATGTGTCAGGCTGGAAAGCTGTTTGAACTACAAGGTCAGTGGTTCAAGCTCACCAGTTGCTCCTTGGAAACCCTACACAGGGTCGCTATGGGTCGGAACCAAATCGACGGCACTTAACAACAACAACATATCTTCTAAGAGATTTTTGAAAAAGTCTATTTTGCCTCATATTGACTGCCACCCAACTGTATTTTGGCTAATATCTGTATATTATAGAATATTGTTTCGCGTCTTCAAACTTTCAAGCAACTACTAAAGCCAGTGATAATGAAATTGAAGCATTCTATCTACTTCTTCAGTCTGAAACTGACCAAATATGTAATCATGATGTATTGACAATTTTTGGCAATTCTAAGGCAAAGGTTGGAAACAAAGAGGAAGGATCAGTTGTTGGAAAATATAGTCTTCATGATAGAAATGACACTGGAGATTGCATGATAGAATTTTGAAAGACCAATGATTATTCATTGTAAATATCTTTTTTAAACAACAGAAAATACAACTGTACACACAGAGCTCACCGGATGGACTACAGAGAAATCAAATAAACTATATCCAAGGAAAGGGATGATAGAAAAGTACAATGTGGAAAAGAACATCAAATTGCCCAAATGCAAGTTCAGGCAGAAAATGAAGAAAAATTTGAAAGGCCATGAGAGCCAAAATATGACCTTAAACATATCCCACTGAATTTAGAGATCATTTCAAGGACAAATTTGATACATTAGACACTAATGACCAAAGACAAGAACTTGTGGGATGATAAAAAGAACATCGTACCAGAAAACAGCAAAAGGTTATTAAGACAAGAAAAGAAGAAAACAACCAAAATGTATGTCAGAAGAGACTCTGAAACTTGCTCTCCAGGGTTTTTGTTGTTCTTAGGTGTCATCAAGTTGGTACCAACTCATAACAAATCATGGCCCGATCCTGGGCCAACCTCACTATTTTTGCCACGCTTCAGTCTATTGAT